AGCGGTATGAATCTTCTGGATCCACTACTAGAGCTGCCGCTAGGAGTCGGAGGAATGAATCTTTGATGACCGCCGCTGCCGCTGCTAGTTCCTATATTCGACGAGGAAGATTCTGAATTCGAATTGATCAGTAGGGGCGCCGAAGATACGTAGCCTGGCGGGGGGAACTGTCGAGGTGGACCCATATTCGCATTGGAAGAGAGGGCATTCGAGCTTTGGTTCGTGCGCATTGAATTCGAGTGAGTCGACTCCGATCCAGACGCTTGAAGGCGAGCTGATAGGGGTGCGGAAGGTGGCATCATGGACGATGAACTGTTCAGTGAGTACCGAGGCGTTGATGAAGAGGATTTCCTAGGCGTTGCGGCCATGAATTCTTGTTGCGGCCTTTGAGGCAGTTGGTGAGTAGATCGAGGAGCGCTCGGTACTGATCGTCCGTGCATGTAGGATAAGGTCACAGAGAGAACGACGGAGACTCACTAGCATTCCATCCTTGTTGAGTGGACTCAGATCGGAAAGCTTGTTGTTGGGGTTGCGGCTGTTGGGCTTGGTGTCGATATTGAGGTTGCTGCACCGATTGACTTCGATCCATAGGGGTCGGTGGTGGACCCATCATCTCGCGACTCCCCGATGCTCTCATCTGTTGCGGTTGCTGTTGCGACTGCTGCTGTTGCCGCGAGGGAACGGGCATTGGCTGAGTTTCCACCTGTCGTTGTATCCTACTCGACATCGGCCGGACCATCTGTGAATGCGACATCGATTGAGGTTGCATTTGCGTATCTTCTTCCTGGAATGCATATTGACTGTAATCACCGGAGATACCACACGACCATCACAGAATCCTTTAGCACGGGGTGGATGGAAGACATACCTCAAATCAAGGGGACTTGATGCTCGACCACTGTTCCGGAGTAGACGTGGATCTCTTGTAGCAGGAGCGACTTCGGAGGAGATGGATCTCATGGGCGGATGGTCGAGGGTGTCTCTCGGGAGTGTCAGTCGTTCTGGGGGCGGAGGTTCGATGACGTGATTGGAGGCGACGCTAGAGCTTCTATTGTGAAGCATGAGGATGTGCTGGATGGCGGTATGACACCTGACAACGTACCCTCCGTGATCCTCTATTCGTCGCCTTTTCCCATTCACATTGGTGCTGTCTTGCAGTGGACCCGACGTCGAACCACCCTTTCGTAATCGTTCGTTCTCAGCTCGGAGATGATCTATCTTCCTGTCAGATCGAGAAAACCATCGTCAGTCTGGAACTAAGAAAAGACAAAAAGTGCTCAGTCACCTCCGATCCTCATCTGACTGCTTCTTCATCTGCGCCAGAATATTTTTATATCGAAGGTGTTTCCGGCGGTAGTGTTTCAAAAGCTTCGAAACCGTTTCCTGCTGGACATTCGATGCAAATGCGAGTTCTTCTTGGCGAGCAGGGATGGGTCGGAACCACTGAGACATAGGATCGGGTAGCTACATTGTCCACAGACAACTCAGCCAAGAGCTCTAACGGAAGTGAATGCAACGAAAATAGGACGTACATCTCTCGACATAGCCATCACAGCAACATCCGTATGTCCACAAACTCCACAAGTTTTATCAGGTTCTAAACCCGCGCATTCGCAAATCAGTCCACAACTCTCTTCCTGCGACTTCGAAACGCACTGAGATGATTATTGCAAACGACATGTCCGCATTCAGTCACCCAGAAAGGCACAGTAGGGGGTGCATTCGGATTGGGATTGTCAGGATTGACAAAGGTGGTGTAGCAGATGCCGCAATGGACGAAGTCCCATATATCGAACGGTTGTGATCGATTGGGGTTCGATGCAGATCCAACATTAGACATCGTCGTTGCCCGTGAACGTCGTTTGATGCGGTGAATTGAGCTGAACGGCGAGGAAAATGAGATGAGACTGAGGACGCGTCGAGCGCGTTGTTTGTTCGAGCCAAACAGTCGTCCACAGACGTCAATGATCCACCCGATCAGAAGATGAAAATCTTGCCAGATAGGGGGAAAACGGCCATCAAATTTCAGGGAAGCCGGGATGTATCACAAGACGTCGACCCGATCGCTTGGATTTGATCTTGGAACAAAGCTGAGGCGCTAATACAATCGATAGAGGGGAGAGGAAACTGTACAAAGTTGTTTCTTTTCATATAGTACACATGGGCAAAATGAACAAGAGAAGAGAGCGTATACTACTTCCAGAAGACAGGAGGCACAACAGGAGATGATCAGGAAAGAAATGGGACGGAAAGATGCAAGAGAAAGCGATATCACAAAGCTGCACGCGCAGGCACACGTAGGATGTACATGGGACAACAGGGAAAATCCGGCGGGTAACAAGGATATAAGAGGTGGTGTTGGTAAGTACAATGGAGTGGAGGACGCGGCTGTACAGCGAGGATCGAACGCTCAACGGAACTCGAACGACCCTCTGGCCAATTCTCGTTCGTGGTGGAGTGAGAGTTCTTGGAATCTAGGATACCACAACACTCATCAGTCACACGATTCCAACTGAATAGCATCGCCAAGTAAGGAAAGATACTCACGGCTCAGAACTTTGATGGAAATAGTATCCCTTCATGGTAGCCGTGCTTCCAGAACGGTGATCCTCTCGTTCTCTCTTCAAGACGCTCTCCGGCGGTAGTGAATGTCTCTCTTCACTGGAGGTATTAGGGGAGACCGGTGTCGAACCAGACCCATGCCTCGATGATGGGTCAAAGTCCACGCAGACGTAATAGAAACCGGCAAAGCTGGCACCATTGATGTCCCTGACCCTATAGTCAGGAACGAGGAACCGTTCCTTCCATCTCATGAAGACACATCGGCTGTCGGGGTAGTCTTTCATTCGATAGTTGGAGCCTTGAAGTTCGTTGCGAACAGCGTTGAAGGGAGGGAATCGTGACCAATGACCTATGTCATCCGCCTCGGTAGCACCCCAGTCTTGGGTGATGAACCCGTGGCGGGGGCCAATGATCTCAGCGTCAAAGTAAGTGGTAAGCTCGGGCCAGTCGTCTGTCAAGCCCTTTATCTGGAGATAGCCACACAAGAAGGAAGAGGCGAAGTCGACATTCTCGAATGGGGGTCACTGAAAGGTTTGACGAGGAGTTTGGATGGTACTCACGACAATGACAACAGTAACATCGTAACTACTTCGTCCGCTTTTCTGAGTTCCGGTGAACCTCGAACCCGGGTATAGACAATCTACGCCTCGTGATCTGGTTCGTATACGGGTGATATCCACAAACGGATCAGGTGCTTGCGGACGCTGTTTCTCTGTCGGTGAGGAAGGGGGGCTTGGTCGTGTCGGTGATGACGTCGGACTTGTGACTCTTCTTCCGCTCGACGGAACTTGCTGGCCAGCAAGAACAGGCTTCAAAGGTTCCGAAAGCGCTCTACGAACGGCGGATGAAGGCGGAGGTGCGGAGGTAATCAGAGGTGGACGTGGAGCAGCTACCTGCTGTCGACGACTAGTGGTATTCGTCGGCGCCTGCGACTCCGATAAGGATTGTCCGGGATGAAGGAGCGTCAAAGAGTCGACTTGAGCGAGATAAGACGCTGAATAGTCTCTACTGCTTGAGTCTCTGTCAGCATCAGCTGCTCTTGTTGCCCCTCCGTCCGGTAAAGCGCCCAAAGCGACTCCGATACCGGGAGGTTGCGAGAAGATATGATGTCCGCGACGGTCATGAGAGTGAGTCTGCGAGAGATGAGTCTGCCTGCAGTTGGCACAGAGGATGACGGTATCTTCTGGATGACCGTCGCCGCCGCTATCGTGGAGGAAGCCCTGGTCGGGCGGCAAATGACGTTGGCAGTCTGAGCATACTTTATTTTGGCCCTGGTTGTGTATAGGAGTTGGATCGAGTCGAGGAGACGGGTGTATGGGATTCGAATTTGGGATTGGACCAGAGGGCATTTGCGAATGAGGAGTTGGGTTTGGAACACGAGGAGAAGTGAGGTTCAGAGCAAGCGTGGGGGAACAGGGCTGCTTCAGTCGGAGAATGAATTGTGGGGTTCGTCTAAGCGGGCAGGTCAAAGCTCACTCGGTCTCAGCTTCGCTGCGGTCCCCGTCGTCGTCGTTTGTGCAAGTCCGGTCAACGTGACCTCTTCATGGCTCGCACTATCCAGACTAGTTAATATGTTCAGCACCGTGATCGTCCCCGCCATCTGTCAGCGCTCCCAGGCTTTCTCCTTGCAGTGCGCATCGCCGTCCGTGTCCCATCACTGCCTTCTTCTGTTCCGAAATGCACTGTGCTCCTGCATTCTGGCACTCTGAATCTTAATGGCTAGCGGATGTATCGACTTGGTTACAAGTCCTTTCTAATTGTCTTTCAAGCGACTACTCCGTCCGTCTCGAGGGTTTCCTACAGGAACAACAACAGAATCGAGATGGCAGCTGCCGGCTTCCCCCTAATGGTCCAGTACGCAGTCCACGATCCCGTCCGTTTCGAGCGAGTCCGATTCAGATCTCGGAACTGATCATCTAAGCATCGCAATGTGGACTGCAGACGCTCACACAGTTTGGTCACCGCATCTAGTCTAGTCAAGGTCGCGAAGAAGGGAACAAGTGAGTTCATATCATTCAATCAATAGATCTTCGTATTGGCTCCATTCCAACTGACGCTAAGCCAGTTCCCAAACGTGCCTCATGCGTAATTCGCTGGTCCAACTCCTCGATGATCTCGATCAATCGTTCATTCCAAACCTACCACGCTTGTCCTCACTATTCAACTTGTCGCTTGGATTCCTACATAGGGTCCATTAGTGTTATCGCATGGCAACTACGCTCGATCGATTACAATCCTGATACCAGGAAAGCAGCCATGACATACTCTTTTGTCACCTATCACTATCGCACTTCAATTGACAAGCCGCGCCCGAAACGCTGGTTAGAGCGTCTCGCGATCACGCCATCGACGCTTCGGGCTTCTGCCTTTCTGCCCTCGGGCCGGAGCTTTGCCAGTCTACTAGTCATGTATGCACTTTGAGGACTGTCTTTCATCGGTTCCGGCTAGTATATCGGATAGTACACACGCCTGTCACGCGTGAAAGCGGGGTTCGACTCCCCGGCCGGAAGTTCTTTTTCATCTTTCATCAAAGATGTATCACAGTTTTCGTATTTTCATGAATTCACTCAAGTCGAACTCTCGTTTCCTCGAATATAATATATAGTGGAGGATTTTGTGTTTTAAGGGTCAATTTCCTCATTGATTGGCGAAAGGCTTTTGTGTCGAAACAGGGCATATCCCATTTTCACGGGGGTAAAACTTCAGAATTTGTCTCAAGAGCTTGGCCTCTGACGGTAATATAATCGCCATGAACATTTTGTCCCGCCGCTTTCTGATGCAACGTCGATGTTGGTCGGCGCTTACACTCTGAAGGTCACTCGGGCATCGGCCAAACAAGAGCCGAGGACCGAGTCTCCTCCCGCATCACGAGGAAGGAAATGCCAATGTCGACAGCTCATTCTCACAAGCAACCTTAAAAGCATTCCGAGAGAGCTTAGTCTCGAATGCTTCGTACCTCGCCTCTTTAAGCTGAACCGATGAATACCCCGGACGAAAAGTCGACGCAGTCTCGCTCAAGTCGCGCCAATGCTCGATCAGGAATCGTCATCATAGGTGCTGGGTCAGTCTATGTTGTCTCACTTTTATAGCGTTTTGAGCTTACAGGGAACTTTGACATAGCATCGGAGGTATCAGCGCAGCGATAGCACTCATCGAGAAACTGGGGTTCCACGACTTCATTGTGAGCAGCGAAGTGTGAGAGGGAGCGTTAATTGGTATCAATGGTTTCCTCAGATATACGAGAAAGCGGACGATGTTGGAGGAACATGGCGAGTGAGCAGTTCAAAATGTTTGATTAGTTCATCCGTCTAATGTGGACAGGACAATACGTATCCAGTGAGCCCTCCTTCAATGCGGGTCAATGCGGGAAAGGTCGCTAAGATATTTTGAGGGATGCGCTTGCGATGTTTCTTCGCATTGGTGAGCTCTCATCCTGATTTAAATCGACTCTTCATCTTACTGAATCATCCTAGGTACTCCCTCTCCACCGAAATCAACCCAGATTGGACCCAGCGCTACGCTCAACAACCCGAAATTCTGCAATACTGGAAATCATTGACGACGAAGCACAATCTCTCCTCCTACATCCAATTCCATACACTCGTCACGAATGCTATATGGGATGCATCCTCTCAAGAATACATCATCACGACCAAAGATACTCATAGCGGTGTCCAACAAACAACTCGTGCTCGGATCATCATCTCTGCAATTGGTGGATTCGTAGCGCCTTCTTACCCCGTTGAAATTTCCGGAAAGGAGCAATTTCAGGGTCGAATGTGGCATAGTTCGCGGTGGAGGCATGATGTACCTCTGCAGGGCCTCCGGGTTGGAGTTATCGGAAATGGAGCATCGGCTGCACAGATTATTCCTGAGATCGCTAAGGACGAGACGACCACCATTGTCAATTTCTGTAGGACCCCAAGTTGGTTTATCCCTAGGGTGAGATTTAGACCAGGCATGAAAACATGTGCTGAGCATGACGATCTTTCTAGGAGCAATTCTCATATTCGAAGACCACCCGATGGATATTCAGATATATACCATTAGTGGCGCGGCTATACAGAGCCGTGATCATGGCAAGGGTGAGAGAGATTGGCTTTGAGGCCATGCCGAGATACTGATTTTTGTAGCATGACGTGAATTATTTTGCACTATGGCCCAAGAAAAGTGAAAAGACAAGAAAGATTGTCCGAAAGGTGAATGCTCGATGATCGATCAGATCAGAGATACTTATGATGTCCTAGCGACTGATCGAATATATTAAGAGCGTAGCTCCTAAAGAATATCACGAGCAGCTAATCCCAACGTATCGTACGTTATAGCTTAACCTCGGTGACAGCGATGCGCTTTAACTGAACGCGCTCAGCCCCGGGTTGTAAAAGACTTGTTCTGGATCCAGGATATCTCAAGAGCTTGCGTCAACCGAACGTTTCACTCAATTGGGATGAGATCAAAGAGGTGACGCCGACTGGTCTACGCATGCAAGGGGGCAATGTCGTCGATCTGGACGTAATTGTCTTCGCCACCGGATACGTTTTCGTACGTGAATCTTATCTCAAAATTTTGTCACGAATTGATCGCTTCTCCTAGATATCAAATGAATTGGAAGTGAGCGGCAGCAAAGGCATCACAATTCGTGAATACTGGGAACGTCAGAAGGGGCCTACCGCCTACCTGGGGACAACCATGCCTGGATTTCCGAATTATTTCACACTTCTTGGTATGTCTCCATTTCCTTGGTAGCGTGGCAAAACTGAGTTCCCGTGGGTATCTTTAGGTCCAAACACTGCCACAGGCCATGCCTCTGTTATATTCTCCGAAGAATCTCAGGTCCGCAATCGCCCGGTCTCGAGTTTGATCAAAACATATGCTGATGCCGGAGTTTCTGTAGCTAAACTACATTCTGAAGATGGTGAAACCCGTACTCGACGGCGATGCCAGCTCGTTCGAGGTCTCTGCCGAGGCCTCCGAAGCCTATAATCGTGACCTTCAAGAGCGTCTCAGTAAAACGGTCTGGACGGACTGTCGGTCATTTTATCGCAGTGGTGGTGGGTCAACTTCCGCTTTCGGATTTTGTCGTTAGACGCTGAGGCGATCTTTCATTTCCTTATCACAGGAAGTCAAGATGGAAAAGTGGTTGCAACATTCCCAGGGACGCTAACCCAGTTTTGGTGGTTGACACGCAGTGTAAGATGGGAAGACTACATAGGAGTGAATGCCGAATCTTGGATGGAAAAGCGGAAGAGAGGTTCGGTCGGCAGAATCACATTGATGTCAATGGTGACTGCACTATGTCTCATGCTTTGGGGTGTTCCCAGGCTGCGGAAGTAAACAGATCGCAGATCGCAGTTGCATAAAACGAATAGATTTTTTAATCATTTCAAATCACCAGTTTACTGGCCGAACCTGTGCATCCGAAGCCTGCAACGCGGCGAAGGAACTGACGAAGAGAGCTAGAATTAGCTCATCACGTGACACTCTCTCCTGGAAAGGGAGCTCCGCTTAACTCTTTCTCGAGTCCTCTCAGCGCCTCCTTGCGAGAGCAGGCCACCTTCGTCACCAATCCGCCACCTATAGACATCCCCCAAGTCTCATCTGAGGAGGGGTCCCATTTCTCGTTCGATAACCGACATGTCTGCTCATGGGTCGCACTCGTCGTCTACGACAAACCTCGTCGGCGTCCACTACCGTGTTGGGAAGAAAATTGGGGAGGGATCATTTGGTGTCATATTCGAGGGGACGAACCTATTGAACAGTCAGACTGTGGCAATAAAATTCGTGCGTTGATTTTGTCTATCCGTTTTGCGTTCGAAATGGTCTGATAGGGGAACGTCTTGGTGGCTTTCGTATCAAGGAACCGCGCAAGTCAGAAGCGCCCCAGCTGAGAGACGAATGTCGGTCGTATAGGATCCTTGCAGGCTGTCGTGAGTGAATCGTCCGTGCGGTTCATGGATGGCAAAGATCGAGCCACTTTTATAGCCGGAATACCACAGATATACCATTTTGGCCAAGAGGGGCTGCATAACGTTCTAGTGCTGGATCTTCTAGGGCCAAGTTTAGAGGATCTCTTCGATATGTGCGGAAGAAAATTCTCAATAAAGACGGTCTGCATGGTCGCGAAACAGATGGTCAGTCAGGGTGATCAAGAAGTCAGCGCTAAACTAATCGACTTCTTGATAGATCTCAAGAGTACAGACCATCCACGAGAAAAATCTCATCTATAGAGACATCAAAGTGAGTCCTCCGTCTGCTTCTTACAACGTTCTACGCGGTCTGACGGTTGGTCCATCAGCCCGACAACTTCTTGATCGGCCGCCCAGGAAGCAAGGGTGCGAATGGTACGCTCTTCCACTCATCATTCTATCGACATGTGATTCATGGCTAATAGTTGTCCACGTCGTTGACTTTGGCATGGCAAAGCAATATCGTGACCCTAAAACGAAACAACACATCCCTTATCGAGAACGAAAATCTCTATCTGGTACCGCTCGGTACATGAGTATCAACACTCACTTGGGTCGCGAACAGTCTCGACGGGACGACTTAGAGGCACTGGGGCATGTTTTCATGTACCTCCTTCGGGGTGGACTCCCTTGGCAGGGGCTCAAGGCTGCCACTAACAAGCAGAAGTACGAGAAGATTGGCGAGAAGAAGCAGACAACGCCAATAAAGGAACTATGCGAAGGCTTCCCTGGTATTGTTTCTTCTCCATCATCTGTCTCCATTTCCTGATTCATGTGCAGAGGAATTTGGCATCTATCTGAATTACGTGCGGAAGCTCGGATTCGAAGAGACGCCAGACTATGCTTTCTTGAAGGACCTCTTCACTAAAGTACTGAAGAATACGGGAGAGACTGAAGATGGCGTATACGACTGGATGCTATTGAATGGTACGCGTAACCCTTTTCAATCCGACATTCTTTCTGACCGCGCAACAGGTGGCAGGGGCTGGGAAGCATCGTCATCGTATTCCAATCTCCTCCAAGCGTCAAATGCTGGCGCTCCTCCTGCTCGTCCTCGGCAAGACAATGGCCGACGAACCTCACAACAGCAACCCGGCGGCGTCGTGCCCCCATCGCCGGCCCTCGTTCGACACGGATCGAAACAACGGAAGATTCCGACAGCCTTGCAGCCAGGCGGCGGTGCTGTGACGCCCAATTCAGCAGCTGCTCAAGTCGGTGTAGCCGTCGGCGCTGGCTCACCGCATCCACCTCAGCGACGTATGAGCTCTCAAATACCACAAACCCCTCAACATCCCTACGCCAATGTCCAGCCACCATCAGAATACAATACCCATGGTCAGGGCACTATAACTGATAGAGGAGAAGAGTCACTGGGTGGTGCTTATGGCCGTCATTCACCTATGGTGTCGACAGCTACACCGCCTGTTATGAGCAATGTGCGAGCAACGGCTGATCATCCGAATGGTGCGAATGGCGTTGACTATCACCACGATGAGCATCAGCCTAGTACATTCTGGCGCATCCTCACGTGTCGGTGTGGATGA